GATAAAAACGGATTATACAGTGTATCCTTGAAATTTTTACTAGTATGCTAACTCTGTTTTGTAAATTAAAAAAAAAAAAACGGTGTGTTTATGATAAACTTCACGTTAGCCATTGTATTGATTTAACTAGCTAGTTCATTGCAATGCTACATAATTCTAAATGAATAAAATTAAGTTAGTATTCAAAATGCAGCGCCACTTACGTTCAATTAAAAAAATCTAGTCAATCTGATTGATGTAAAGTTATTAAAGTAAATGAAATAGAATCTAAACATCGCTACTTATCGTCTTTGTCATATAGATTTCTTTCTCAAAAAATTCTCTTTTGGATTTAAAATCGATTATTCTCAAAGCTATCATTGTTTTACCTTCTCCAGGGCCCAAACATTTCGGGTAAGAGTTCAACTCACAAAGTTTTCGTATTTAAAACTGTAAAAACACGTTAAAATCATGTACTGTAAACCTGCTAAATCTGGTTTAATGAATTACATGTGTTGCTGTATCATTGAAACCCGATGCGCTTGTGTATCCGATAGAGAAAAGAAATCTTTTTCAACACTCTCAGCCTTGTATGTATAGACACATCATTTACAATTTCAGAGAAGCTCATGTTTTACACATTTATTTCTTGTAAGTTTCTTTAAACAAAAACTGATATTACAGATATGACACCTGCATCAGCATCTGGGTTTTTTTTAATATTCAGATGCAGAAGTATCGTATCGGTTAATGCTAAAGGGTTTCAGAGAAATTTAAAAACTGCAATATGATTCATCTATGTTACTTACAAAACAATAGAGGTCACTTAGGACATGATGTCAGGCAGCTTATCATCGACTTAATATTGAAATTAATGGGGGACACTTGATGGAAACCTTCATCCTATTCTTCGGAGCGGATCCTCTTCCTATGTCTAGGAGCGGATCTCCATCCTATGTCTAGAAACGGATTCTCTTTCTCTGTCCATAGGTGCATATTCTGATCATGGAGAAGACAATGAGAACGGAATCTTCTTATTCTTAACACTGCATTCAATGATGACCATGTGTCGTTCGATGCACATCAACATTCAAAGCAAAAATAAAAAACAATATATGAGGCTTTTCCCAGAAAACTCGAACATTTTCAATATTTTTGTTTCATTAGTATTATAAAGTTAAGAAATGGCATGCAGCATTATCAATATTTTTTTGAAAACATAGCGATTTCAATGAAATCACCATAAAGTGTATTTTTCTCTTGGTTCAACAAATTTTACTTAATAGTTATCGGCCGACGACGTCAAAACATCATTTATGTAAATTTGTTTAGGAACTGTTTCTCCTTTTTTGGAACTTTAGAGATTTTATTGACGCTGAGAATCGATACTACAATTGTTTTTGGTTGTTAATTATAAATTACCCATCTTGGATATACATACTATTGGCATCGAAAGATCGCGAATTCAAAGCAATTCTTTGAATACATTACCGAACTTGTTTTTCCCCAGTCTCCTAGTCTTTTTGGAGAATTATCGGACCAATTTTATTTAGTGATTTTTGAGAGGCAATTAAACTGTTATTTTATGGTACAATCATTATCTGCGCTTGGCAAACGATTAGTTCATTTCTCGTCAATTAAACAAATTTTCATGGCAAGAGAATTATTTGAAAAAGATTTTTTATATAAATGCTTTTTTCTTTCAAGATTGAAGATTATTCGAGTAATTTTTTATTATCAATTTCAAGTCATTAACTTCGGGCTCAAAACTGGAGACACATTTTTAATTCATTCTAAATATAACTCATTGTATTAGCGTGGTGGTGCCGTTATGAAAAAAGAAAGGAAAAAGAAAGGCTTTGTATATTTGATGTGGTTTTTAAAGCAGATATGAGAGAAAGCTTTCTATGATGTATTAAGTAGTAGCAATTTCTAATGTGTAATCAAACTCTTCTTACAGAAGTAAAAAACTACAAAGCGAGAACACTTACATATGTTATAGTGAACTTTCAAGAAATATAAAGTGTATTAATGGTAATCGTATTACGTAATGTGTTCTGTGAGGTAATTTCACAGACAACTGATAAAGCAGCTTCCTTTAAAACTGAAACTATTTATTCCATTTCTTGAGATATATATTTGAAAAAGAATTTTCTTAAGATTCTATGGTGGTATATTTCTGCCACCACTAGTTAGATGACAGATATTGATGGCAACTTTTCAGATCTTTATTTCGACTAATCAGATAAAAGTAAGATACCATCTTGTATTGACTGATATTTACTTGTCATCATAATATCTGAAAAGTTGACATATGTGTTCAATATATAACCACAATTATCTGACATATCTACATAATTTTCTGACAAGTCAACATAATTATCTGACAAGTGAATATAATTTTCTAGCAAGTCATCATATTTACTCAACAATTCGACACGACACAATTTCTGACAATTCGTCATAATTATCTGACAAATCATGTAATTACCTGAAGTCGACTTGTTAGATGATGATGTCAACTTGTAAGATGTTATGTCTTCTTGTTAGAAAGTTATTTTGACTTGTCAAATATTATGTGGATTTATCAAATAATTATGTGGACTTCTCTGATGCTATGTCGACTTGTCAGATGTTTGTGTCTACTTGTCGGAAAAATATGCTGTCAACTGGATGTCACAAACTGGGCATGCGTACTACGATGGCCGGACACGTTTTCGTGTTGAAATTTCAAACACGTGAATAAGTGACAAGTCAACGTAATTATCTGATAAGTCATCATAAACAGCTGACGAGTCGACATAAATACATGACAAGTGGTGGCACCATAGGATTCTATTTCCTAGTCGAATTATCATCAAAATTGCTTCTGATGCCGAATTCTCTGGGATTTCCAGCTCTCAAAATTCAACATTGAAAGATCAACTTGTAATTAATGAAATACACATGAGAGAATGATGCACAATAGGAAATTTAATCTGATGAATTAGAATTTATTTTGAATGAAATTTTCATATACATGTATTTTACAGCGCTCGTTCCGTGATCGGAAGGTCGAGTATTCGAATCACGGCCGCGACTGACCTAAGTCGATAAAAAATAGGTCAATTCTTCCTTCGCCAAGCGCTCGGCACTTCGAAGTGAAAGTTCTGGGTCTTTCGGATAAGACCTGAAAAACCGATGCCCCGTGTCACAGTAGGCGTTGGCACGATAAAGAACCCTCACTGCTCATTGGCCCTGAGTGCCGAGCAAAGGTCCAATGAAGCCCTTCACCGGTTTATGGTGACATCTCTATATGAGTGAAAAATTCTCAAACGGGACGCAACATACAATCAATCAATCAATCGTTGATGCATTAGCATTTAACTGTCTGTCATCTATATGTCGCCCAAGGGCCTTAACGGTCATCTGAGTATAATACAACACTGTAAAGGATCCATAGAAGTATAAAGCAAAATTAACTGAAAGATAAAGCAATGTTGCCTAAGAATTTCAAACAGAGATTACAGAGATCACCTCATTGAATGTTGGCTTTAAGTAAGGCAAAGTAATAATCTAGTAGTGTGCATCCCTAGATGTAACATTTATGCAATTTTGATCTGATAGGGCTTGCAGTTACTTGGGAATGGACTTACCTAAAACTTTAAACTAGTCACTCATCCAGAAATTGTAAGTCAAATCCAGCATCTGAAGTTTGAGAGTGTTCATCCTGCGATGCATCATCCATGCAAGTTTGGTTCAGATATCCCTTATAGTTTCTTTGTAATGGACCTGCTCCAAAAACTTCAACCTGGTCACTCATCTGGAAAATGTAGGTCAGATCCAGCATTCAAAGCAAGTTCAGTAGTGTGCATCCTTAGATGTATCATCCATGCAAGTTTTGTCAACATAGGGCTTATAGTTACTTAAAAATTAGATCTGCTCCAAAAACTTTAACCTGGTCACTCATCTGGAAAATGTAGGTCAGCCCAGCATCTGATGTAAGTCAAGTAGAGTGCGTCCTTAGATATATCATCCTTGCAAGTTTGGTCAACATAGGGCTTATAGTAACTTGGAAATGAGACCTGCTCCAAAAACTTTAAACTGGTCACTCATCTGGAAAATGTAGGTCAAATCCAGCACCCGAAGCAAGTCCAGTAGTCTACATCCTTAGATGTATCATCCATGCAAGTTTGGTCAATATAGGGCTTAAAGTTACTAAAAAATGAGACCTGCTCCAAAAACTTGAACCTGCTCCAAAAACAATTCTGTAAACCAACTATTATTTGCGTCATCTTTTATTCGCGAATCGTCAGTTTGAAATCAATCCGCGACAATTAATTTTCTCGACTGAGGAAACATTCTCTACAAATACAAAGCAAAATAATTGTTTCGCTGCGATTAATATTCGCAAGTTAAAGAAGGTCGCGAAACTCGCGAAAATTTCTTGCATGCGAATAAAAGTTGGTTTACAGTACTCTGGTCATTCTTTAGCTGAAATTGCGGCATCTGAAAAACCTTGACTGGTACAATGAAACATTCTAGAAGCATCCTCTATGCATCTCTGATTAATATGGGGTTTAGAAGTACTTAAAAAGAAATCTGCTCTAAAAACTTTAAACTGGGACGCCGACGCCAAGGGTACTGCAACTTTCAGTAGTGTCAATAAGGTCACCACTTTTTCTTTTGTTACAATAAACACTGCATTTGTATTTTTTAAAAGAATAATTTTAGATATGCTCAATGCAATTCTTTTTAAATTCATTTTGATATTTTATTTATTTTCTTGGGTGAATGCGTCGACTGACACCTTTGGTTGCGTAAACACTTGGAGCTGCTGCCAGTTACGCTCCCTAGACTGGCTTTCGACCTTCGGTCGACGCCATCAAAAATTTCATCCAGGGTCCGACTTGAAGGATATGAAGATTATATACCGGGTATATTCATTAATAATCGTTTAATTAATAAATTAAGAGCAAATTAATATAACATTTAATATAAAAATACATATATTTATAATTCACTGTAATGTAAAAACGAATAATAAACATGAAACATTGCAGTTTTTTCAGACAGGATAAAATTATAATAATCTTTCAAGAGTCGTGAATAAAATTTACAAATATCAAAAGGAAAATTGAGTATTGAGTTACACAACCGTTTCTCTTTGGAATTCTTTTCGATAAAATGTGTCAGATCGAACCGAAGGAACAGAGGACGTTTGCATTTCATTGTCTAATTTCATTAAATCCTTAAAATCATTTTTGATCTTTCGGATTTTCTGCTTATGGAATGGGAGTTTGCTCCTAAATTTGGGATGAAGTAAGGCGTATATCATAGGATTAAGAACTGTGGAGACTTTGGCGAATATACCCGGAACTGTAGAAACTAACGGAGTGATGACACTGGCATCACCAAAGTTTCCAATGGTGGCAATGATGGCATAAGGTATCCACGATATACAGAAAATGGAAATGATGACGAGAGAGACTTTAGCTGTTTTCATATGAACGTTTTGAAACTTCTTGATTCTCCGATTATGGAATGATAACGATTCATTTCCATTGCTACACCAGCTGACTATTTCCTTTTCGTGCTGTAAAACTTTAAGGAAAATTCTGACATATGAGCAAACAATAAGGAATAGCTGAATTGAAAAACAGAAAACCAGAATAGAAACGACGTATGATTTGTTATTCACATCGCGAGAAAAGAAGTCAAATGTACATGATGTCAAGGAGCCCTCTAGGATGAAAGATCCCCATCCGATTAATGGACAAATGGCCCACATGAAAGAGTATATCCAAATAAATAATATAGCTACACAGACAGTTTTGCTGGAAGTCTTCACTTGTTTCCACGGCATACGAATCACAATTACGAAAAATCTCTCAATGGCGATTACAGTCAAGGTATTGATTGAAATAAACCCAGCCATGGCTCCGATGAATCCATACACCTGGCAACCTATAACATAGAAAAAAGAGGATTTACATGATACATTAAAAATGTAACAATAAGTCAGAAATATATCAGTTACTTATTTCTAAGTATTCACTTGGGGACATTGAAAACTCAGATCGAGGAGAACATTTTACCCTACTTTGCATTTAACACATACAGTACATGTATATTACTTGGATTTTCAGGAACCCATATCATGTCTTAATGAGTTTTAAGTGTTCACAATTATTTCTTACAAGTATTTACACATTTTGCTTTCAAATGGTTAAACCGGTCACGGTAGCCTATTCGTAGGGGGTTCGCTTTGTGATCGGGAGGCCCGGCTTCGATTCTCGTTCGCCAAAGTCGCCCGCGTGGCGCAGTGGTTAGAGCGTCTGCTCTAGAGTCTCGGAGTAAGGAGCTGATCCTTATGTCGCAGGTTTGAATCCACTGCGGGACATGGAGACTGGTCCTTCGGAGACCGTACAAACCGAGGTCCCGTGTCGCAGTAGGTGTTGGCCGAAAAAGATCCATCGATCACTGCTCAATGGCCGTAAGTGCCGAGTATATGTATAAATTTGCAGCCCTCCACCGACAAGTGGTGGCGTCTCCATATGAGTGAAAAATTCTCGAGAAGGACGTTAAACAACAAACAAACAAACAATAGCTAAAATATATTCTCAGAAAGTAGAGTTCAACCAAAACAAAACGATACTGAAAACACAGGGCTGATATATGTACTAGGGCCTGCTGATATGACATAGAATTGTTTGGAATGTATATAAATGAAATCAAAAGTAGGCAAATAAAAAAAAAACATGAAGTCAATTTTTTATTATTATTAAATGAGGCAAATTATGCACATATTTCCCTCCCACAATATGCAGGCGAAATGGCAGAGAATTTTCTAACTTTCAATGAAATCCGTTTTATATCTTGCAACATACTAGATTTATTTTTTTCTTTCATAAAAACAAACTAATGTTAGTCAACAAAGTAACGACAAATAAATTTCAAATGTTATGTTATATAACGCCATTTTGACGTTACCGAAATTGGCGCCAAAACCGTGCGCGACGTCTATATATTAGTAGTTATTCGAAGGAGTTGCGTGACGATACATATCTTTTTGTCACCAGCGACAATAAATATGTACCTCCCCTTACTGCACTTGTGGTCAATAAGCACATATTACCGTCAACTGAAAAATAAATATGCATGCACATATTGTCGCCCATGACAAGATCGGCCTACCCTCACTGCACATGCCGGTATTTTCGTCCCTTCGGTCATGTTGTCGCCAGCTGAAAAAAATATAAATGAACATATTGTCGCCAGCGACAAAATTTGCCTACTCTTACTGCAAAAATGTCCATCGGCACATATTGCCGCCGACTGAAAAAATATACATACCTGTCCATTGTAAACAGTGTTTCAACCACTCACACAGTGAAATACTTGAAAGAAAATTGACCGATAAGCCAAGAAACTAATTGGTTGGACAAATAAGAAATATGAATCTTACAATATGAAGATTTTTTTCTTAATATATCAGCATCGGTATACACATGTACTTGACGTGCAATCAATACTGTTTGTTACAATTTTATATATTCATCTATACACTTACAGTGTATTAAACTCGGCTAAATTAATAAACCACATTTATGTACTTCAGCTTTAAATATTTCCAATGGTCGAAGCCACTAAAAGTATACGAGTATTAGACGCAAGGAATCAGTATATATTCGGTATATCAACAGTATAATTTTAGGTTCAAATTATTTGCATTTCTCGCGAAAGAAACTTCAACAAATTAGGTGAGATCAGTTATTCGAAGGTAATGTCGCGAAAATATTTTCAAAATATCCCAAGGTCATTCAATGCCAATACCTGTTAATATATTCGTGGTTGAATAGTAAATAGTCGGTCTCACTGACATGCAGTAGCGATTTTTATCGTTCGGGTTCAACCCTAGAACAAATCGCTAATGAATATTCCCGTCTTCCTTTTTATGATTTCTGCCGACAGAATGCACAGTGCCCAAATATTGATAAAACTCTACTTTCGAAAATTGAAATGAATTAATAGAAGTTATATGAATTTTTTAACCTTTAATTTCTACATGTGTTTTTCTTGTAAATTTCAACAGTATAAATGTTTTATATCGACTAAAATCTTACTTCAAGCGGTTGTTTTGCCAGACATTCATAAACCCTGCCTTCATTTACCCACTGAGTAAAACATTCCTTAGACATGCCAACGTAGGAATCACCAAGTTTCTATCTAATCTTTCCAACTTCCTGAATAATTATATATATCAAGGCACTATATCTTTATGGCGATGCAAAATCACTGACAGCTCGAGATATTTAATTGTCAACAAACCTATATATCCAAAAATCCAATATCCCCGAAAACTGGATATCGCCAGCCAGGGTAGATTTCCGAGGGCGAGGAAGGTGTCTGTGATTGCCAGATTGAGCACTAGGAGATTGGACGAAATTCTCAGGCTTCTGTATCTACAAATTAAACAGATTTCTGAATATTCAACAAAAACATTCTAATCTCCATGCAGAAAACATTGTCTCAAGGCTTTAAAATGACCCTTTATGTATAGTGGGAAATACAACTAGTAAGTATCACAAAGAATGGCGAAATTTGTCAGGGGCTACATGCCCCCTTCACTCCTCAATATATTTACATTCAAACAAAGAATCTGGGGGGATAAGACGAGCCATGTGCCCATGCCCATTTTTCGGCTATGCAAGAACATTTATTGGAAAAAATCTCTCAATTGTTCGAATTTACTTGAGCATTTTAATGTTTACCGTAGTTTTCAAAATGATATTTATATTCTAAACAAGCTAAACAGTTAACTTTCATTTACTGTCACAAATATCTAACATGGGTAAGGACTTCTATTAATTAATCTGCATATTGAGTGTTTACACTTATTGTGGAGATATTATAAAAATGTTAACGTCGTATATAATGATAATGGTGATCTAGAAGCGCTTTTATTTAAAATAAATAAAACGGGAATAAAAGTATTCAAATATCTATTATAATTTTTATCCGGCATTTTAAATAATTTACTGTAAATAAGTTCATTATTACATATATATATTTTATTTTCAGTGAAAAATATGTTATTCCTATAGACATTTTTTATAAAGTAAAACAAAATTAAAACTAAAAAATTCAAAAAAAAAAAAAATCAGAGCATGACTCGAACACTTTCCTCAATAAACGTCCCTTTAAAGAGCTCATCGCTAACCACTAGACCACGGAGTCACACTAACATTTCCATTTGAATAGCATACAGTTCTCTATATTTAGCAAGCGTTTTTGGACTTAGAATTTTTTAAGACCACGGTGAAAATTTAAGTAAGTTAACTTAATTTTTTATGTAGAGTGGGTCTTCATACCAAATTTTTGCAAGTGTAAAAAGCAACATCTTTCCATTGCCTTTCATTAATCGTTCTCAAAAAAATGGTACGATGACCCACTCTATTTAAAAAATGTAGTTATATCATCCAATTTATGTCAGTTTCTGTGAAAATTGAGCGTGATGCCATTTTGTTGTGTACATCAGAATCATTTTCGCTGTTACAGTATTCAGGTTTTGTCAAATTTATATGCAAATGGTAATAAGCATTACATTAATTCAACAAAAAGTGAAATTTTTGTAAAATGAATTTATTGATTTTTTATCGATCGTTATGTAGGCATATGGCTCGGCTTATCCCCCCAGTTTCTTTCGCCCATTTGTATACATACACGTATATGTACCGATTTTTTTTTTTTTTTAAGTCTAGTTTTGCAACAGCACTCATAATCTATTAATATTTTTCTAATGTATATACAAACTCTCAGGAAGCATAAACTTAAGCAAGATTTCTATCCAAAGTTCAAAATATCAGACGTCTACATTTTATAACTACAAGGTCAGTCATATAGCTGAAGAAAAAATAACCATTAACTACGTATCTCTGACAAACAATGATGCATTTGCAACATTTTAATTTTGCAGAATTCCAATAAACTTGGAATTTTGCATTGTCATATGTTGTTTAATTCACGTCAAATGTGCAATAGTCTTGTAGAAATTCTGAGTAACAATTTTCATTTCACTTTATCAGATAGAACAAATCTATAATTAATGTCTTTAGAATCCAGATTCCGTAGCAATCAGATTAACTTCTCAATTGTTTTACATTGCTCTCATGCAAGATGAGAGTGATTAATGGTCGCAGAAAAGAGATAACAGATAATCCAGGTCTCTAGAACAAGTACATTAATATCCATAATTAACTAAACAGAATTTGATAATGAGTCAAATAAAAGCATGAAAAGCAAAACCACTCTCGAAAAATTCGTGTTTGTAAGTCAATTATCTGCAAAGAATGCAAAGATCGAATTAACAGAGAAAACATTTGCGTTAACAATGAATTCTGTATAAGTGTGATATAAATACCCGAGGATTTCCGTACCAAGAGGAAAAATAAATAATTACGATCAGTTTTAGATACATGTATGCTGAAAAAGAATTTCCTGTTTCAATTGGAATGCAATGATACCTTCGTTGAAGTACAGTTATAATCATGAGAAATAGCACTTGTCTAAACTAGAAAAAAATCTTTTAGGTTAAAAATTCCCCAAAATACATATAATTTAAAAATTATTTTTACAGTACAAAACGATGCATTAATTAAAGCTTGAGTAGTCTGTACAAATATTTATTTACATGAAATAAAAAAATAAATGACGTATAAATAAATTAAGAGCTTTTTGTGCTGGAAAATGCGAGGCTAAAGTGAATACTAAGCTCAATGTAAAATGCAATACAATGTCATTTAGCTGCAATAATGTAGCCCTCTCCCTTTTTTTTTTTTTTTTTGAGAGGGCTACAAATCCTTAGGATCTCCGTAATGGTGCAAGTGCGGGAGTGATTCACTCCCGCACGGATTTCGGATTAAATTATCAGTAAATGGCTATTTAATTAACATTTCTTACCTGAACTCTAAAAATGTAGTTATGCAAAACATAAATCAATCCAAACATACACAGAACAATCCATATATCGGTTATTTTTCGTGTATGTCAACATCACAACTTGAATTTATCCGCCATGTTTACTGACCTTGATCGATTTTATTTTGGGACAGCCAATGAGACTAGGGATCTTTAGGGAGCGGATCTTTGTAGGAATTACCTTATTTTAGGCAAAAATATCGCTGTTTACGAAAAAAATGTCACATGGAATAGTTTTATTTATCAATATTTAGTAATGCCATACAGCACAATCATTTAGTAACCCCGAAAATCTACTTTACAAAGTAATTTATAATTTTTAAGCGCAAGTCTCAGTGCATCACGCGAGAACTGTCATGGCTTCTGATGAGAGCGACTGGTAAACAAGCAGATTTATTTTATCTGGTTTTCGCGTTGAACAGGCTTTGTTGTTGACAGTGAATAAAAAGTTGAATGTTAAAACAATTTATTTTGCCTGCAGTCGCCCGTATTTAAAAAATATATTTGCACCATTACACAGATGCTGTGGAATTGTAGCCCTCTCCAGAAAATATCAGATAAAAAAAATCGGAGAGAGCTACATTATTGCAGCTAAATGTCATTCTATGCAAATAGATGCATTATTATTTGTTTAGGTGGAGTTTTTAAAATTGGCGCTGCAGAGAGGCGGAAGAGAGTCTTCATCTCTTACTGAAGTAAAGATTGAATCAATCAATTCAGTGATAGTCATTTCGTAATATGAAGTATGAGTACCCGTATTTATTGTGCTACCTTTAATAATATAATTTGAGATTCATGCTTAGTTTGTTACATCTACAATTAAAAAGTTAGCACTTTTTGCAACAGATAATGGTAATTTAAAATCGATTTGCAAATATACATGTTTTTTTTAATATAGATTCGCCCAGTTATCTCCACATTGCATTAGTTGCTTGACAGATAAAAAAAACATATGAATTATCCTCTTTCTATTACTGAAAGAACCACGCTGTTGACAAATTATGGCAACTTCTAAAATGTATATCATTAATTTAATGAACGAATTACATGCTTTATTTTCAGCGAGTTGTTAAGACTTGTCAAAATCTAGAGCGTTCCAAGGAACGCATGTGTCACCTGCTTTGTAGCTTCATTAAAGGTGTAAATAAATCTAGGAGTGGTCAGCTTTTTATTTACTATAAGCATGATAGACTGATAGTTCATGCATTTTCCTGCAAAGAAAAAAAGGCATCCATGGATAGTATGACTGCGATAGAATTTGACAATCAAAGAAAATATGGTACCATAACCCTCAAATAAATAATTAAATTGAAATTATTAGAAATAATTAACTATTTGTCATTTTGTTAATAAGTGTTTCCAACAATCCCCCTAAAGAGATTTCAGTCTGTCTTTACTGCAATTCTCAGTCTACACGATCCATTGTTGGATACCAATCCCGATGTATTTTTATGGTATTAAAATATGTTTGTGTGGTAACTGAATAGCATACAGTTTCAATGTACTTTTTCATGAGCTGGACGTGTTTCCAATAATCAATCAAAAGAGATTTCAGTCTGTCTTTACTGCAATGTCTCATTGTGGAATACGGGTCCCGATGTATTTTCATAGTATTTAAATATAAGTTTGTCTGGTAACTGAATATCATACGGTCTCAAAGTACACTGTCATGAGCTCATAAACATGTATTAATGCTAATTATCTAAACCCTGCCTCTCAATATTCAAAAGTCATAAGTTTAATTAAACTGCCCGAGATTTTTTTTTTGCAAAGTAGGTCATAGGGTCAAGGTCAAGTGGATTGTAATGCTGGTATTTTTCATATTGTGTTACGACAAACAGTGCACATGCTAAATAGCTTAGACTTACCTCTTAAATATCAAAAATATGTTGTATATCGGCACTATGAAATATTTTGAAAAGTAGGTCAAAGGTCAAGGTAAAAGGTCAGGTCGGTAACCATGGTAATTTATGAAAGCCATAGCGTTAAGCATTATATGTGCAAAATATCAAATCCATACCTCCTACACTTCTTGAGATATAGGGTGTGACAGACGGACAAGACAGACAGACAGACGCCGGGTAAAGTGATCCCTTAGTGCCGCTCTCCTCTGCAGGCGACACAATTAACTTTCCCCCCAAAGAAATTGAGCTGGAGCGCATATTATTATTAAGGTCTTCCGACTTCCTTCGGAAGACCTTATTGTTTTCCGTCTGTTTTCTATTATTATTATTATTATTATTCTTTTTTTCATAGTTATGGCGATATCTCAGCTGTGAGTAAGCAGATTTCAGAGATTTTTTCGCGGAACATGCATCATGTAAATATCTCCAGACGTGTTTTTCATTTTTTCAAAAATCACTTCCGTTCGCGATTTTTGGGGAAATTTGTATTTTTTAAATGGCATTTTGTCCAGAATTTTTCTCGACAACGGCTAAAGATATGAAATTGAAACTCAATGAATAAATAGAACATCAAATTCTAA